AACCGTGAAATAAAGCCTGCATCACCTGTATGAAATATAAGCAACCAAACTAACCCCTAGCTCATTGTAGGTGAGGTAGATGATCATTCCAAATCGTTTGCAGAAACTCAACACAGATTGTAGACAAGGTTCTATTCCATCGACCTCAATCAGCCATACACATTTACAACACATTTACTGTGGCTGTGAAGTAACCAAAATGAATGACATGGTACTTCAGATGCAAAACAAAAATGGTGAAACTGACTGTGCTCACTGTGCTCATAGGCATCATCTCAAACGACGTTCCAATCATCTGCAATACACAAACTTTTCCCTTACTCTGCATTTGTAGAATTCTCAGCTAGCACTGAAGTCGCCACACACACTTCTGTCTGAGGAGCATATAAAGACACAAGATTTCATATCTGATGAAACCATCGAAATACTACTCTAAACTACTGCAAAACAAATTCCCAAAACACAAACATGGAGACAACTCTTAACACATTTCAAAGACTTTATTATCCACTAATATCAACAATAGAATCACCCCAAATCAACATAAATATCCTTGCTGCATATATCCACTCACTATCCATGAATCAGATTGAGATCTAGGAAGCCATTATACTCTGCTTCAAATTAGATCTCTTTCTAATTTACTCTATATTAAAACTGTCAGGCAGCTAAGAAAGTAAAACTAAAAATGAAAAGTCACACATTAGTAGAGGCTCTGAGCTTTGCATTCATTTAACAAAACAAATAGTTTTCCAATATATATATATATATATATATATATATATATATATATATATATATATATATATACACATATAAATAAAACATAATATAAAAGGTGCCACTCACAAACGTTGCTGCTAAAAACAAAAATAAAAAATGCTGATCCACCTTGTCTATTTTTAAGGATAGCACTCATGACACTGATTTACTCGCCCCATACTTCCTCACCCACAAAGAGACATTGGGCCATGATCCTCTATTTTGGCAATACAAAGAATTTTATCTTAATAATTCTTGTCTTCTTTTCTTGTTTTGTTTTTACTCCTGTGTTACCATACAAGCATTTATAACATTGATTTTGGCATCACCAATTTGCATGTTGGGTTTTATTTTTGTTGAAACCATACATTCTAGCCTGAACCTTACAACTCCAAAAAAAAAAAGAAAGAAATCTGCATGAAAGATTATAAATATATGTCTATTTCTTTTCATTCTGTTTTTTACAATGCCATTCTTTTCTTTTATATCCCCTCTTATTGCTTAAAATGTGAAGGTAGTTAACTTAGAAATTATAGGAGCATGAATGAGTAGCAATAACTTTCTCCCTTTTATTTCTTTCTCATACAAATCACAGAAAACTTTTTAGTCAGTTTCATCCTCCCTTTTCTATACTTTTAAATTTGGCTGACATTATTTGAGAAATTTTTTAACAAACCCTGAAGATATTATTTCAATAAAATTCATCCCACACTTTACAAAAAAAATAATTCAATAAAACACAAAAACAAATTTTTGTTAAAGATTCAGAAAAAACAATTTACAGTGAATATTTATTTTTAAAAATATATTGGTAATTTTTCAGTGCAATTTTGAAATTCATCACATCACTGTTGGTAAAAAGAGTTATTTTTATTAAATAAAGAATTTGAAGAATCAAAAAATGTAAAGTTTAATGTAATTTTTGAGACTGAAGAGTTTTTGTACTTATGAAGGATTTGTGGATGCTTATTTTATGATGTCTGTTCTCACCATATCGATCATTATATTTGGTTTGGGTGTAAATGCCCAACAGCATAAATACAGCCCAAAACATTACAATTCTATGCTTAAGTTTCTAATAGGGATTCATAAATCCCTATTAGAAATGGATTTTAAAATGTCAATAAATTCAGAATTTCATTTAATTTTAAAATTTCTGGCAGTTTTGTTGTTCCACCTTAGAAAGAATTAATTAAAGTGTGAAATGTCAATGAAATATGAATTGTTGACAGTACAAATATATCAATTCTTTTCTGTAAAGATGTCATCTAATATTGTATTCTTTAGTAGAATTTTCACACATTTCACTAGTGAAGCTGAATTTTTCATAAAGGAAATGTTGGATAATTGCATGACAAAATGGAAAAATTCTCTGCATTTTGTCCTCTAAAAGACTTTATTAGACAAAAGTAATGTTCTTATTGATATAGAGGGAGATTGGTAATATAAGTGTAAATGTTAGTTATTTTTTTTAACAAAGGTGAAATGTGTGTAAGAACCTGGATGCAAATCTATTTATAGGTGTCTTTCCTATTCAGCCTTGTCACAAATATTCACAAAATTCTTTCAGCTACACTTTAATCTCTCCATGAACACAAAGTTAGCTTCTTATAGACTGCAGATATAAAGTTGTTCTTATATTAATAAAAACAAATAACTTTTTCAGATATATTTACATGGAAAATCATAAGTTGTGAAGTTTCAAAAATGCTATATAATAGATTATTTTATTGGGTGGAGTATTTTTACTTTTGATATGTATAGCTTATAGAAATGTTAGTCAAAATGAAGCATGTGATCTTGTTTCAAATAAAAAAAGAAATGTTTCATTACAGTTCTTACTTTTGGACAGTGTGATTCAACTGCTAACCTCTTTTTGGTAAAAGTAATTAGTAAGCATAAGAATTGATTTAATGATTGTGACTGACAGCACTTGACACTTAAAAGGCATTATTAGAAGCAACAATATTTTCAGAAGTGTTAACATAATTGGGAAAATTAGAAAAAACAGAGAATGTCAAGAAATCCAATTAAATACTTAAATTCCCATCACTTATGACATTTAGTTGCAATGAATTAACAAAATGACAGCAACTTTCTCCATTCATACATTCTTTTAATTTAGATAATAAATTCTTTGAAAATAACTCAGTTGTGGAAAATCAGTTATTTATCTATGATTTTGAACAAGATTTTTTATCAGATTAACAGAAATAAAATAAATGTTAGTCAGAAAATCTACATTAAGTAATGAAAACCATTGGAATATTTCTTTAATTGATTTCTTTAAAAACAACTTATTTTGTTCAAGCAAAAGTATACATTTATTTTCTAGCTTTTCTTTCACAGTTGTGTGAATTGGTACAGCAAAACCCAAGCAGAACATTGTTTAAAAGTCAACTACAGGAGAAACATTTTATTGGTAAAATTAGTCTAAAAATTCATCTTAATAGACTGAAAACAAAAACAAAAAACATCAAATGGTTTGAGAAAGAAGAATTGAAAATGTGAAAAATCTCCAAAAATAACTGAAATCAGACACAATATTTTTTATGAAAACAAACCATTTTATTTATTAATTACACATATAGTCTGTACAGTCATACAAAATTGGTATTAAGTTGGACATTGCAAGTAGCAAGCTCTACACAAAACAATTTTTGTAGTCATTAATAGTAAAACATGTCATTGTCGATATATTCCAAATTTCTGACTCTGCACATCCATTACAAAGCAGCCAGCACTTCAAGGTTCTGAGAACTAGCCAAACTGAGGATGAAATGTGGTTAAGACATGTCCTTAGCTGCTTAGTAGAAGTAGGAGTAATAGCAATTCTAGTTGGATAGTGTAGTGGGAAAATTAGTTGATGGCTGTCTAGAAAAAACATTCTCCAACCCCCCTTGGCAGGATATGTGATGATGCTTACATCACAAGGGAGTGGTGTTAGACACAACTCAGAATATGCAGAAAATACCTAAGAGAATTTGGAGATTAACATTGTTCCAAAGTTCAATGTTTGGGAAAAGAAGTCATAATAAAGAAAAAAAAAGGTTATTTGCAGTGAATTACTCCTGTGTTTGGAGGAGAAGGGAAGGAATATTTTAAAGATTGGACAGATAACTAAAATATATAGGTATAACATTTTTAAAAATATGTGAGCCTTTTACTTTCTAGCTGTACAGAAAATATAGGAAAGATATTTGTGGAAAAAATATTAATATAATTAGAATGGCATCTTTCAAAGCACACAAGTCAAAGAGCATCATGTGATACTAATCTCACTGTTGAAACTGAACATTGAAAGGAGAAAAGCTAAAATTCTAACAGTAGCTCTTGTTATTCAAAGATGGCAATTGAAAAAGTTCATGAAATTTAACAAGCAACAAAGAGTATAAGAAACTTTTCTGTAGAACTAGATCTAGAACATTATCTTTGAAGGGCTGAAAAGAAATGTCCACATTGGGCACATGAATTTATGGCTGTAGAAGGAGAAGATAGGTAAAAATTTTAAATGATCTTATAGAAAAATAATAAATGGTGTAGGTGGACATAACTGTAAACCACACAGATGCTAATAATAATAATAATAATAATAATAAGAAGAAGAAGAAGAAGAAGAAGAAGAATATTAGTCAATATGTTAAAGTGTTGATCAGCCAGAAGTACAAAACAGGCAGAAAGTAGATGAGAAAGACAAACAAGCTGTGTGGAGATGACACACAAGCACAGCTTTAGTAAAATGTTAGTCATCACATAACAACAACATAAATGTATAGGTTTTTGATTTGTTTTTTTTTCCTACAGCTGCCTAGGTTTATGACAGAAGGGAGCAAAAAGAATAAAAATATAAATGGCAATTGGAGTACAGTCAATTAAATGTGCCTAACATCAACAAAAAACATCTGTATAACAATAGAGCCATATCCAATGTACCACTCAAGTTTCAATTCTTTTATTAGCCAAATGTGAAAATTAAACAATATTTACATATGCACAATTAGGATATTTTTCCATGTTTCATATATAGATATTAGGATACTTCCCTAAAAAGGATATATGTTATCAATGTTAAAATCTGGCAGAACACAAATGAGGTCTTCTGCCTTTGTAGCTGCCTGTTGCTGCTGTACTGCATAATTGGCTGGGGAAAGTGGGTTAGAAATAAAAATCATCTTAGAAGAAGCAAAAGTGATTTTCATGCATTTGAAAGACAGAAAAGCCCAAGATAGAGAAATGTGCTAAGATGATAGCTTTTCTTGTCTGCTTCTGACAGTGCTCTTGGTCAAGCTAAAATATATATATATGAGTGAGGGAGTGAATGAGAGTGAGAGAGAGAGAGAGAGAGAGAGAGAGAGAGAGAGAGAGAGACCATAATTAGACACTAAAATAACTTTTCTAAAAGAATTTGGGTCCAAAAAACTTTGGCTGTCTCACTTTTTCTCCACGGGTTTGGAGGATAAAACAATTTATTCTTATTTATTTACTAACCAATGATATGGAATGGAATAAATTTTTATATTCAAAACACATACACACACACACACACAATTTACCAATGGTTTCTTCTAAAAGAAAAATAAAATTATTGTATTTATGTTGCAGCAGACCATGTTTAGCACAACTGAAGTATGACAAGAGCAATCAAAATTGTTTCTATTTGTGTTTAGAGGTGAGGTTTAACTCAGCCTTGGGAAGACTTGCTGTACATTTACGGAGGTTTTGGATAGTTTAACAAAACAATTTTTTAATTGTATGTAAAAGATCTGCATGAACATCTTTTATACCTGCTGTACAGTGAATTATAAATTTGTGTCTATGTATGGAGATATACATACAAATATATATTTTTTCACACACTCATACATGCACACACATGATAGATAGAAGCCCAAGATGTAATCCGCTCCAAAGCCTTTTTGAAAATTCAGTTGAGGAAATCAAATGAAATGAGTGAAAGAGGCCTCAAAAAATCAATAGAATAGTGTCCAAGCTTCAACAGTGAGAACTTCTTTGACTGTAACAACAGTCTGCACTCTGTGATGCCGTTTCAACTGGATAAGCAACTCACAAGAGAAGAAACAAAATGGAGAGGCAATAAAACAAAAGAAGGCTGAGGAAAATGTTGTTTTAAGAGGGGCAGACAATATTTCCTACAACTTGAATGTTTCTGTATCCCACTTGTTCAGAGCCAACCCTACAAATGGATGGTGGTGTGGCGGTGGTAGTAGTAAGAGTGGTGGTGGCTAAATGTATTCATGTGATCTTGATGGTTGAGTCTTTGCTGTGTTTCTCTGTTTCTACCAATTGGCACCTTTTTATTGTTTTCCACAGCATGGAATGTTACATGGAATTCAAGTTTTGGCTTTAATTTTTGTAGAGATTTTTTCTTCATAAAATTCTTGAAAAAAAAAAAAATATATATATATATCTTGCTCTTCAGTTGCACAGAAACACATGCTTTGTGTGTGTTTGTGTGTATATATATATATATATATATATATATATATATATTCAGACACAGGATTTATATAAGTATTAGTGTATATATATATATATACACACACACACACACACACACAGATGTATATACACATACACACCCACAAACACACCCACATGTTTTTGTACATACTGACTCATAATTGAATGCAGGCAGTGGCCCTTTTTATCCATCTCTACATGATTACAACCAAAATTTGTTTTAATAATTATTATTACTAGTAGTAGTAGTATGTTATATACACAACTGCAACTGCCATTGACTTGTCTCTCAACAAGTGTTGTTCATAGTATTTTTCATAGAAATCTTTTATTGTCCGATTTCATTTCCATAGTTTCATTTCCATTGCTGATTGATCAAGACTTCACTGGCTCTGTTTCCTGTTGACAGATAGCAGAGGCAGTGCAAGAGAATTTGGGTGGACTTCTTCATACTGCAGATACACACAATGGGGATACACTCAACACAAGAGACAAATCTGATAATTATCACCAAAATATTCAAGGAGCTGCTTTTTTTCTCTTAAAGGCGGCTTTTGGGAATAAAACTGTTATAGCCATTAATACATGCTGAAACATGTTTGATGACAAAAAATAAGAGCCAAGTTCTGTAATAATAGATATATTATTGAGTAGAACACCATCTCGCAAGATTTCCTAGTGCAAAACCATAGCCAAATTTTTCATGCCTTCTCTAATTATTGTTTTATCTCATGACTGGATTGTCCAGATTTAAGCCAATCCAATCATACATAAATTACTTTCCTTTGGAATTTCTTACAAGAGGTTATTACATTTAAAATCTATTGGCAAAGAACAGGTTTGTCTCCAAGAATAATAAAAAAATATTCTTGGGAAATTGATTCTTCTATATAAGCAATAACCAGAAGAAACAACAAAAATGTAACCATTTTATCTTTACAAATTGTTTGAATAAGGTTACAATTTCAGGTATGTGTATAATGCATCGAAGAGAAAAATATTTTATTTGTTAAAGCTTATTTCTTTATATTGCGGCCTGAAATTGGGAAGGAAATACAACTCTATCTGCCAAAGATTCTAGTGAATGAATCAAACCCAAAAATTAACAGCTAACAACTACCAAAGTGAAAATGGGACAACAATCCAATGTATGGAAATTACACAGTGAAATTATGTTTCAACAATTCAATACCCTATTTTTCATTACTGAGCTTAGACAAACATGAGATTATCTTTAAGTGTCTAATTGTTTGTCTAACATTTGGTGAGAAGTAAATGTAGTTCTGCATATTTAATTTATTTTCATGTTTTCAAAGATAATTTCAGCTCATTTTGCTTTTGAAGATAATTGAATATCCAGAAGAACTTGCTAATTTTATGATTTGTCTTTTTGTGAGTGAGAATTCGGAATGTACATACAAGACAAAACTATCATTGTTGTGTTTTTAATTGGATCAGAGTTTTTGAAATGTATCTAATGGAGTACTTTGGTTTTAAACATATTTTCCATTGTACACACTTGACAATTTCAAAATTTAGCAGCTTGAAATGCATGCAGTAGATTTGCAAAGTAGATGTAAGGCATGCGTTGTCAAAATGCTTTTTCTAGCTCAAAAGGGAAAAATCTAAAAAAAAGATAGATTTTAATTTCATTGATTTATTGTAAAAATTAGCTAAATAAAATATGAAAAATCAATTTTTCACTGATAAATATTTCTCCCATGGAAATAAAATATCAAGCATTACTTATATAATTATTTGTTGTAAAATTCTAAACAAAATATTTGCAGGAGTAAAGCTTTTCTTATTCAAAATGAAATATAATTTTATTTTTTTGTAGAGTAGGATAATGCTTATAAGTAACTTAGAAATCATCATAGTAAATGATGAAAATTCAGACCATAACAGCTACAGCTGTGAATCATATATGTGGAAGAATTTTTTTAGATTGCAAAAAATAGGACTGAATAAGATGCTCAACTTTTATGAGCAACAAGTTTCCAGTATTTGTACTTTTATCTAGATTTCAGAATTGTTTACTATGTTCCAGTGAAGTCAGTTCTTGCATAATTTCAAGAAAAAATGAACTCAATAGTTGTGTTGATATTCATACATTAAACAAAACCATTTACAGATAAGGATATTAGTAATCAAGTTATTGGTAAAATGTACTTATTTGCCAAATAACTTATAGATTTATATAAAATTATAAAAGTTATTAGAAGATCGTCATAATCATTTGTTTACAAATTCTAAAATAAAAAGAATCTACTGCAAGGTTATATTTTTAGAGGAAAATAATATGAATAAGATGGTGTTAAATTTGAAGATTAAATTTTGGTCAAAAAAATGAAGGACATACCTATAAATTTTGGCAGAAATTTGGCTGCAGGTTTTGAAATATTTCCTTAATGATTGACAGGGTTTAAGTATAAAGTATAGAAATGTACATAACTGGCAGAGAATGTGGAAGTAGAAGAAGAAAGAGTTTGCTGGTTCATTTGCCTCACATTGTCTGTCATCAAGGAAAGGCAGCTGTAATGGGTCATGATGGTCTGTCAGTCCGTCATGATGCACAAGGTCAGTTATGGAATACAAGTACCAAGACATATACCAACATACACACTCTTAAATACTTTCACAGAATACTTACTTACATATAAGTTTCAATAGAGTATGTGTATTGCATATTATAGTAACTTTCTGTACACTTAAACTGGCAAGGAAAATCCAGTTGGGTGAAGCATAATTGTAGCAAGATTAATCAATGGAATTCATTAAGGCAGAAACTTGGTTTTATCCAAGTAAAAAGAAATTTTCAAACAATAAAATCTGAACAGTAGGAAAAAGAAGCTCTTCTGCCACTCAATTCTGATTAAGTAGCATTTTTCTCATTACTTTTCTTTTTTGGTCAGCATACACATTATGTGCCATTACATATATATATATATATATATATATATATATACACACACACACACACACAGATATATATATATATATATATATATATATATAATATTTACTCATACACACATATATTTAACAATAATGCACATTTTATACATATCTATATCACTATAAATGCAAACACATATTCACATGTGCTTTATTGGAAACAGGGAAAAGCTGAACACTAATCGTGAAAATTTTATTTATTTGTTATTCCTATGTAGCTAAGAAGCTGATTAAAAGTGTATCTCTTGTTATATTGTTGAAAAAAAACTTATCTAACTAGAAACTTTGAAATATTTGTTACTTTAAAAGATTCAGTTAATATCTTATATTTGTACACAGAAATTGCTTTCATCATTTCTTGGTGGTTTCATCCATTTGTGCTTATAAATGCACTGAAATATAATTCTTCACACATACACATACATTCACATTCTTATATAATTGTTCAGCCTCAAAAATTAATTATACACTTGCTTACATACAATATCTTTTAACAATGGTCCTTACAGCATACATAAAGAATAAATACAATATCTTTATTAGAAAGAACTTTTTCGAGGACAATATAACATTTTAACAGTATGAAGTATTTAGTTGGAGAATGTGATGCAGTTAATAAAATAGATCAGTATGACAAAGGTTGGTTTTACTTAACAGTAACTTAGACAACATATTTATATATAAGGATTCAACAATGAACCTATAAACTTCATAAAGATCTTTGTTTTATTTTTATCTGCCATCTGGAATTGGATGAAAAATTAAATACCTGAGATGATTACATAATTGATGGAAGAAGGAAATTAGACTGTTGGAAGTAAATTTTAATCAAGTATATTGAGCTTATTATCATAAACACCAGTTTCATTCAATTAGATCCACAGAGTGACTGCATGTTCCTTTCACCTCAAATCCTATTTTTAAAGATCAATTGAAAAAAAATGGTTATTTGCATGATTTGTGTCAGTAAACATTGCAGAAGTGAAATCAACATTTTTTTTACAAAACAAATAAAATTAGGGCATGTGAAAAAGAACAAGAGCGTTTATTTACTTTTTTGGTTTGATTTCTTTTTTGGCTGTTAATTTTAAAGCCTACATTTGGCTGCCTCTTTTTATATTCCCAAAAATATATTTGTGTCATATGTCACTTGTTAGGTATAGTTTTAGTAATATTTGTACTTGCTACTTATAGGCTTAATTAATAAGAATCAATCTTAAAACAATGTAATAATCTAGATTGGTTACAAAGGCAGATAACCAGAGAGAATAGATATCAAGAGTTTTGATTGTTATAAGCAAATAATTCCTTAAAAGCAGTGGCCAGTTAGTAATTTAATTTCTCTTATTTTGAAGTAAAACAAATGCAACAATTACTAATACTTAAGAAGAGAATCAATGAAATTTTTCAGTTATATTGGTCTTACCATATGTATAATGAATGAAATTCTCTGATAATTTCAAGACTGCATCATATTCAATGGCATTGATGGAATCATACAGAGAATTGGTGCAATAAATTTAATCTTTTGAAAGAAATAAAGAATGATTAAAAAGGTTTAATGTCCTTTCTCTTTTTCAATAATGTTTACATAGACAAATGTAAAGAAAAAACCCTAATCTGATGATCAAGATGTAATAGAAAAGTTACAAAACAGAATAAAGCAAGGAATATGCCAATTCTGGAGATTTTTCTTTACTGCACTGTGAATGTATTTTGTATTTTCTTGATTTAATTAAAGAACTGAATCCTGTACCCAAAGGATGAATGTATCACAGTATTAAGAATTGTGAGTTTAAAATTGGGAAGTCTAGAATCTAATGATTTGAAAATAACCCAAATGCCAACATTTGTAATGCAAGAAAACTTGTCACTTTAAGTAAATTACATAATTTCAAATCATCTCTGTTTATATGACTGTTATTTTCTAATTCTATTTTTTTTTATTTTTCTAAACAATTAAAATAAATTTCTGCATCCTCATTTAAGCTGCAGAGAAAGAAAAACATGGGTTTTTATCACGATATGTAAAAGAGATTTCAATAATTTAAAAAGCAGATTTCAACAGAAGATGGACGGACTGACGGACAGACAGACATTGTTGGCTAAGTTTTGAGAAAGAATACATCAGGCTGTTGAAAATAATGGACAGACGGTTGAATAATGAAGTATTTGTGTTAGTTTCTCAAAGTAGACTAATCATTTTGGATTTATTAATAACAGTTTGAAAATGTAACTGGTTCTATGAAGCATTAGTAATGTAAGCTTTGATATGAACTTTATTAATTGTACATCTTGAAGATTTCATAGGCCTTTTATTACTATTGATAGAAGGGCAACAAGTAGCCAGCAATATAAGGAAAGTATAATTTTTGTTGTTTTCTTCTTCCTTTGCAGTGCTTTGCTGCAAAGCACAATGAATATAGAAAGTTGATCATTTCTGTCTGTTGACAGATAAACTAAAAACAAGAACTGGAAATCTGTCTGCAACTATTGCACTAAGTGTGTTTAAAACTGATTCTAGGCTCAATTGAAGCATGTTGTTTTCCCATGCAAATTATATTAGAGTCAAGCTATGAATGACAGAGGGAATATTTTGAGAAGAGGCAGAGAAAAGTTAAGTTTTAGAAAGCATGGTAGATTTTCTCAAACTGAGCCAGTTCTGCTCAAAGGTTAATGAGCCAGATGCTCTTGTTGTTAGAAATGATTTCTTACTGCTCACTGGCATATGCAATATCAACATTTCAGTGGGTGTTGAGCATAATGCAACTGAACATAAAAACAATAAAGGGAAGGAAAGTATGGGGTGCAAATGAAAACTTCTCCTGGTACATAATAGCACCATTTCTTGCATGACAGATATTCAGTGAAGCTCCGTTGAAACAGTATCCCAGACATTTGTCTGCAGCATTGAAAGAACAATGAACAAGAATTAAGTTTTCTCAAGCAAGTGACTTGCATCAATTGATGATATGTCATTTTTTTCTTTTCTAAAGATCCAGCAGTAACTACCAGGATTTCTGTTCACAAAGAAAATTGAACACTTGCATAATTAATGAGAGCTCATTTGAATGACACACATAACCAAGTGAACAAGATGTGTACATTGAAATCGGTTTTCTTCATTTCAATTCAATCCTTTGGATATCCTAACGGAAAGGCTGACTGTTTGAATATCATAAATGAATGTTTTATAAAAGCTGCATATGTAGAAATGAATAAATTATAAACAAATGTATAAAAATGTTAAAATTGCAACACTCTATATTAAAATCTTTTATATTTGATTTTTATATCATATATTTCAGTCATCAAATATATTTTACTTAAAGCAGAATCATTTTGAAGAAAATGCATAATATTTGATTTGGAAGTAGAGAATAAAATGCATTTTCATTTGAGAGCAAGGTTTTGGTTTTCATAACAATAAAAGAATAGGATTCTAAGTTCTAGGATGTCAAGAGAAATAGATTTCAGAAGAAATATTGGCAGTACTACATCATTGATTTTTTATCATTATTGATGCATCATGTTATCATTTTGGACACCATCTGTTCATCTTCTTCCAAAAGCATTTTCAGCATTTAATGCTGGTAGTTCAGGTGCAGGAAAGATGGTGATGAACCAAAACACCACGCTGTCCTGCTGATATGAATCTGCTGTTTATAAAGATTTGTAGAGAGACAACAACAACAACAACAGTCATCAAGCACAATTGTTATACATACCACTCTTTTACATCTTTTTTCTTACCACTTTTTCCACCACCACCCGCTGTGTTGTTGTGAGGTAATAAAGCTCCATTGCTTTGCTGTTGTTTGGAGTCCAAATATGCAAAGTTTTGGCTCTCATCTATTTTATATGAGCCTTCATCTCTACTTCGGAATTTGTACAGTGCTATGATAAGAACAATTAAAGCCACAAGGACACCAGCAGCAATGCCAACAATTAGACCTATATTTAAATCATCAGAATGATCATAGGTTGTTCCAGGAATGGTATCTGCTTCAGGCGTTAGATCATGATTAAAGTTTGTACTGGTTGGAGTCACACCTATCTGTGTTTTAATTCTCTCAGTGTGCTTAATATGAGGGCCACCCTCTGGAGGAGCAAGGGGTGGTACACTATTCCTGAAAAAAAAAGAAAGCAAATTGTGGAATATTTTCAAATTTTTAATTCAGCATCAAACAAATATAAAAACTAATTTTTGAATGTCAAAAATTAACAAAATATTTTTCAAACATGGAATATTTTGCTGCATCTTTTTAACCAATCTTTATGAATAAAGGCAAAAAACACAAAATATAGTACAAAATCTTTCCATAAAAGAAGTGACAACTATTTAATTAGAACACATTATGACAGTTAATGAGTTCAAATCAAAGAATCAATTCATTGCAGGCAAGAAAATGCATAATTTATTAAATTTGCTAAAGGTTTTCATAAAATCTCTTCTTCAATAATGTATACTGATAATAATAAAAAGCATTTATAATTAAACCAATTATCTCATTGCATAAAAACAAAAATATCATCAGATGAAAAATATTAATTTCATGAAACACCAACATATTTGGTCTATAAAAGATGAACCAGTTGTGTATGTTTTTCTTAGAGAATGAATTAAGACTTTTCCCTTCATTTTCTACAAATGTAGTCATTTATGCATAGATACCAGATATTAAGAAGAAAATTCTGTTTCAAAAACGTTTGGACACTGAAAGAGTGATCTCACTTATAGATTGAGGATTGAATCCAAATATGTTAAAGCCTTGATAAATCAATTATGCAATATTAGACTACCTAATAATTCTGTGCTACCTGAGAACAAGTGTTTGTCATATACAGCAAAAAACTATTAAAGACATTAAAAACATCACCAACATCATTTGTTTTCCAAATAAATAATTGCCAACTTCAATACAAGGAAGCTTAGTAGTCTGTTTTAGATAGATGCATAAAAACAGGAGATTTTGAAATGTCAGCAATTAGGTGTGAGAAAGTTAAAAAAAAAGAAAAGAAAAGCCTACATACTTAGATTCAGTTACAGCAGGTCGAGGTGTGGTGATGATTATTACAGTGGGAGTGATGATATCATCGACCATTCCAGAACCAGCTGATGTACATTCATCTTCATCATCACTATTGCAGCCAGGTCCACTACCAGAAAAGATGATATCATCGGATGGTGTTTGGCGAGGAGTGACCTGATTATTAAAAACAATCCAAAAATTAGCAATTTAAATTTTGGTATCAATAATGGAAAAATGGAAAAGAAAATAATTTTGCAAGATTGTATTCTAACTAAATGGTAAAAGACAGGTAAATGACATGAACAATCTTTTTTGAATATTCATTTCTTAAGAAAAATGTGGACATAATCAGTAAATTTCTATGTGTATTTGATTATATTTAGATCAGGTAATAACTCAAGAAAAATGCTATGTAAACCTGTAAGAATGATTACAGGAATCTCTCAAAATAAAAGTGTCACTTACTCGTACTCCCATTGTTGACTGCATTTCTTGCAGTTCAGTGCTTTCACTCTTCTTTGGGACATATTGTCTAAAATGTAAAATTAAAGATGTAGAAAAAAATTTGATCAATTCTCACAAAAATCTTCTCCCAGAGCTACACTTAACATTTCAACACTCTTCATTTCTCAATGTGATTCAAAAATTCAAAGACAATGTATACATATTTGAAATTTTGATGACCTTTATTGAAAGAAAATTATACCTTTCATTATAATTACAGTATATAATCAATGAAAAAATAGTTTATAATAAACAAAAGTTTAATAACACATTCATACACACAATCACACATATCTGCCTAAAATATTTTGCCTAGGAACTGGTTGAAAGTAGAATGGCATGTTCTGACAGGCTTACAGATTTTAATAATTGTATGACTTCTATCTGGAAAATGTAATGCTGCAAGACTTAATTCTTTGCCTTTGGCTAATCTATAATTTATGCATGCTAGAGGTGTGAAGTGTAAATTGCCTTGCCAGTTGGTACCAATTACTCAAAATGACTTGGACATCTATTTTAAGTCAGATGCCTTAATTCACTTCTCTGTTCCATATCTATTAATGTGTATCTGATTCACTGCTTGAACAAAATATTGTCACATTCAAGTTCTGTAAATATATAGATAAAGAGTTTTCTCTCAAATATTTATACAGGTCTTTGCTATTTATGTAAATAAGTTTTACTATATTGCAGGTATAATCATGCTATATTAGGATATTGAGATTAATTTATCTCCGCTAGACATTTCAATACTTGGTTATTCCTGATATGGTAAGCATTTTATCTAACTATTGATATTGGTTGACTTGAGTGACATTCTTTTATGGTATTTTTACATGTGTGAAGGTATTTCTATCATTTTCTCTTTGCTTGTCTGCCATTTTTATTGATATTCTTCAGGTTAGAATTAATTGCTGAGGTGACTTTATTTAATAATTGATGTTATTATACATGGTACTACATAACATGAAGAACTTATAAACACCAGTCCTCTTTCTGTAAGCAGAAAAATAACATGATCAAATATAATGTTACATGTTGCAAAATTCTGATAGAAAATCCCATCAGAGTATGTCATTTATAAGCACTAGAATGATTTTCTTTTGTATTTTAAATTAGTTGTTGCATGAAATTCAATATGGTTGCTTTTATCTTCTTGTGCTGTTTCAAATCTGACACCCAAGTAGTTATCCTTACCCACTCTCATATCTCCCACTCTTGTAGTTAGCCCAACTCCTGTTAGAGATTGAGTCCTGTAGTAATTAAACTCTGCACATTTTTCCTTATTTGATGTTGGCTGAAGCTATAGTAGTGATTCTGCTTTCTTATCAGTCTGGTTTACTTATCTCTCTTACACCATTTATTATTCATTGCATTTTGTCCTAGTAAAACATGAGCCTTGAGCCTTAATGTCCATAAGTGAGATAAATCTGTTCAATTTCAAGACAGACCCAGCTCTGTACTACACTCAAGAGGCACATTGCAAGGTTAGACACATTACTTTACAGATTAAATTTGCATTAAGAGTATCTATTAATGCAAAATACATGAAATAGCTACAGATGTAAGAGATATCATCATCTCCTCCCTGGTAGACAATTCCTTCATTAAATTGAAGGAAGAAATGTCATAATGTCACCTCTTAATGGTGAAATTTGTGACAGCTGTTAAATGAAAAGATAATGGGAGATAGTAAGCCTTCCTGTATTTCCTATGCCATCTGGTGGGTAACAATAATGGCAATATCATTGTAAATTGTATATTTCTGTCTTCCAGTAGAATTCTACTCTATGTTAGCCTCAGCTGGAGAGTAGTCTCTCATGGAAAAAACTGAAGAGATTCTAGATAACATTGCAGATTGTCAATACTCTGTGTCAGGTGTTTGTAAATCGGAGCCAGATTCCCTGACCAAATGTTGGAAATGCTATAAAGATTGAAAAAAATGAGTCAAGGAGTTAGTTGTCTAGTAGGCTGGACATAATTTTTTTCACTTGCTCTTTTAATAGGCCAGCTATATCTCTAGAATTTTGTTGTTGCTCACATATTTTGTCCATGGTATTCTAAACATCTTTCTGTATAATCACATTTCTGTTGCTTCAAGTCTTCTTCATCTGTGAGGAGATTGTCCAGCATTCACTACCATATAGGAGGACCAATATTACACAACAGTTCAGTTCTCTTTTCTTTGTTTCAAGTCTTTTCTTCATCTGTGAGGACATGGCCCAGCATCCAATGCCATATAGGAGGACTGATATTACATAACAGTTCAATAGTCTTTTCTTTGTTTCTAATATTTTTCTGTTTCTTAATACTTTGTGCAGATTTTGGAAGGAATCTTTCATTATCCCAAGGTACTTTTGGATTTCTATGTTACACTTTCTGTCCTCTGTTAATATGCTTCCCAGATATCTAAATTATTGCATCTGTTTGATTTTGGTATCTCCAATTTGTAATTTGCATGTTGGACTGTTTCTTTTGCTAACAACCATGCATTCAGTTGTGCAATAGATGCTTAGTCTGTTCTCCTTGCCTTCCTTTATTACTTTCTTGCTTAAATTTCTTTAATTCCTGTGACTAAGTTAGGCAGAATGAAAGAGCCTTGTAATTTTAAACTTCAGGCAATTAACAATTCTCATACAAATTTATGGATAAAAAGCCTATTGATGAATGTAGGCTAATGCAAATTTCTCATTCACACTTTTACCCAGTTTGGAAATGTTATATTGGGTGCTGTTTTTTTGTAAATATATAGTTTTCTAATATTTTTGTCTGGTGAATCCTGAGGCACACATTATACTGACTGGTTACAATACTTAATTCATCCCAGTATGCTCCACCATGACTAATAATCTTGTTTTTTGTAAGCATTTTGATAAGTCTCTAGCATTATCACTCTGAGCTTCCACCTCTAATCTGCAGCTTCGAGTGGTTAAAGATAGATTTCACCAAATGATGCAGCTTGTATACTCTCTAAACAGCAACTGAGTTTTTCTGTTGTATATAGTCCCCAAATATAGTGGCACTTGGTAGACTTGGGTTTGAATTAACATTAAGACCCACAACTCAGTCACAAAACAGAACATATATCCTATTCACATCCCAGCAATTGCATAAGGTTAATAACTTTTTACCAAACTGCATTTCATCAGAGCCCTCCAGATCCAGATATCTGCATGATATTCCCAAGAATGCCTATTTGGTTTGTTTGAGTTTTTGTGCATTCTTTTTGGACTAAGGAATGCAGCATAATTGTTCCAGTGACCAAATGTTGCATGATTTAAATTTTGCTAGATGATGTCATTAGAGTTAGCTTTTCCATGGAAAAATATGCTCAAAGATTTACCTAACTCTCATTTACTTAAATTGATTTTAAGTAAATGAGATTTAGGTAAATCAGACACCATTTATCTAAGAAATTATATTACTTTAGCTGGTATTTCTCCTTCTTCAAATATAGTATCTATTTCTAATTTTCCTATAACACCATGAGATAATTATGCCAATTCTTATAGGTCATTAATTTCTTCCACAGATTTCTCCCTAACCATGTCCAGGTATTAAAACCTTTGACAGATGTTCTAACATGCATCAAAAATTGCAACATAGATTTATCTGACTCTGCCTTTGCCACTTTTCATAAAATAAAATCTATTTTGTCCCTACAGTGAAATTCTCATATACTGAGTCAGGAGTTGAGTTGTGTTATGTGGTTGATGCTTTTTCCATTGTCTTGCAAGAAGTTTGATAATCAGTGGAAGTCAATTTCTTTCTTTTCTAGGAAACTGTCATCTGTGGAAGCCAGGTTCAGTAACTTCAGATAAGGTGCACCACCAAATAAGTTGCTTCATAGCAGCTTACATTCTAATCAATTCAAACAAATATTTCATGCAATTTATATAAGATATTTAAGATATTTTTATTAAAGGAGTGAATAATATTCTATGGAAAGTATGTTTCAAAGCATCAAATCCCCTCAGTGATTTGTTGAGGAACAGGCAAAGGATCAGCAACTACAATCATTTCTCTTAAATTCATGCTTGAAATTGAGGAAAATTAGAAATTGTGCATGACACCAGCACCAGCTTGACTATGTCCTTTCATTCCTGTGTCTTTGTGGCATATCTTATTCATCATACTTCATAACTTGTGCCAAAGCCTCCATCAAGCTAGTCATAGGCAAGTTTGTTTGGCTTACACATGAAGATAGATATTTGGCTTTGTCCTATGTTCAACAACAAAAAGCAAAAGTTGGAAGACACACATCATTTATTCCTAGATGGTTAAAATGTCTTAATATCTGCAGGAGTCAAGAAGAAAAAATTTTTTTTTTTTTTTATATTAAAGTTCTGAGGCTGTATGGTATAGTTTCATTGTAAAAAGTTTGAGCAATACCAAACTAAAAATTAATCCTGAGGAATATTTTTATAAAAATATTTACCAACAGATTTTGAGGTTTTTTTCCTCCACTTGACTTGTTTAATTTATAGAGAAAACAAGTAGATTTCCTTTTTTAAAAACAACTGGCTAGGTATTTAAAACTTGGCTGACTTGTTTTACCAAGTTCAAAGTAGAACAACTTTTGAGAACTTTTATTTGTTTGTGGTCTCAATACCTTTTTTTACGTTTAGGACTTTTGACAACTATTAAATCAGTTGCTTTTTGTTTTTTCTCTTAGAATGGATTGCATTTCGGGGCTGCTAAATGGGGGGGGGAATATCGGAAAGTGTCATATATGACATCCATAACTGTTTCCTCAGGAAGCCCGCTATCAGCCTTGTCAGTTAGGCATTTCCTAAGTTGGTTGAGATATCTTTTATGTGTAAATTGTGAACGCTTTATAATATATACCATGTTCCCGACTCTTTTTTCGATTGTACCCATCTCCCAAAAAGATTTGTTGTCTTTGAAAATTCTGAAAAAAACTTTTTCTCCAGGGTTACATCGTTGTGGAGGTAAGACACTTGTTCTTTCTGACTTCGGCTGTT